CCTGCCATACTACCTGGACCTCACCCCTGGAGTGTTTGTATACAGTAGCTTTTTCCCCGGTACCCCTTTTGCATTTTTCTTTTCTTTCTTTCTTTCTTTAATTTTTTTATAAACTTACCTCAGCGGACTGTCCTTTTGTGCTTGGCTTACTTCACTTAGCATAATTTCCTCCAGTTCTTCCCATGCGGTGATATGCTTCATGCGTTCATCAATGCTTTTTAGGGATGCATAGTACTCCATTGTATGTATGTACTACAGTTTTTTAATCCATTCGTCTGTTGCTGGAAATTTGGGTTGTTTCCATCTCCTTGCAATTGTGAACTGTGCCGCAATGAACATTGGAGCACAGATGTCTGACTGACTGTGGTTTGTTTATTGCCTCTTCTGGGTTTATGCCCAGTAGGGGGATTGCTGGGTCATATGATAGCTCAATTTCCATCTGTTTTAGAAATTGCCAAATCGATTTCTATAGTCACTGTACATGCATACAGGTCCACCAGCAGTGGATGAGAGTTCCTATCTCACCACAGCTGCTCCAACACTTGTTGCTTTCTGATTTTTTGAATTGGGCTATCTTTGAGGGTGTTAGGTGGTATCTCATAGTTGTTTTAATTTGTGTTTCTCTTATGGCTAATGATCGGGAACATTTTCTCATATATTTATTGGCCATTCAGATTTCAGACTCTGTGAAACTTCTGTTCAGGTCCTTTGCCCACCTCCTCAGGGGGCAGTGAATTTTTCTTATTGTAAGCTTTCAAAGTATTGTAGATTTTAGTAATAAGGCCTTTGTCTGATGTGTCATTGCTAAAGATGTTTTCCCAGTCGGTGGGCTATCTGATTACTCTCTTGGTGAATTCTTTCGATGTACACAGGTGACTTATCTTCAGTATATCACAGTTTTTTGATTTGCGACTCCTCTTTATTTGTATCCTTCCCTATTTCCCATAGACTACGTATTCCCTGTGCCAAGGTTTTCAGGCTTGTCCCAATGCCCCATTAATGGCCCTAATTGTTTGGGGTTTTATCTCAAGGTCTGTGATTCACCTGGAGTTTATTCTCGTGCATGGAGTGAGGTAAGGGTCT